CAGCGCGCGGCGCCGCCCAGGCACTCGGGCTCGGCAGCAGGTGCCACCAGGCAGGGCACGCGCCGCTGCTGCGGAGGCACTTTGCGGACAGCGCCATCTCGCCCACTCCCACCCTCCTGGGCTTCCCCGGGCTGCGTGCGGCTCCATCCGTCCTCCGGGGACGGGAACAAGGCGAAGGCATGGCTGCTTAGCTGCCCCCCTTTCCAACCGGATTATGGAATAAACGTGCCCCCAGGGATCCATAAAGCTAGCGCAATGCACTAGGGGGAGGTATCCTGCATTGGGGCACACTTACAGCTGCGTGGCTAGGTGATATAGATAGATCGTTAAAAGTATGTGCGTTGTTTTTTTCTTTGCACAATCCCCAAGCCCCTTTTCTCAAACCTGCAAGAGCAAGACCCTCAATCACTCCCTCCCCATCTCACCCAGAGGGAAGAGCTTTGCCCCTATATAACATCAGGCACAGACCAAAGCAGAAGGGGTAGTTTCCACTGGGGGGTGAATCGCTTCGCTGTATGACCAGAGAGAGATCAGAAAGTCACACTCCGCCTCACTGATTCTTTATGAAGCCGGGGGGGTGGGGGGACAGATGACTCCTGTATGCAGAACAGCGCGGGATGAGGTAGGGTTTTCTCAGTTTTTGCTGGAAAACCCTCACCGCCGAAAATGAAACAGGGTGTTCGGGGCGATGGGCGGGGGCGGGGAGAAGGATTTTGATGTTCTCTGTCTTCGACCGAGTGTATGAAGGAATTAAATTTCAGTGTCAGGTATCAGAAGGTTAGGAGAATATTGTGTGTAGATAAACCTTGCCACCCCCTGCCCCTCAGAGACCCCCATATACAATGTAGAGATGATGAATGGGTTCTAGGAGAGGAGATCGAAGCTCGGTCTGCACTGGCTCTACTCTCTTCAACAAAACTATAGGGCAATTAATTGTGGCTTGTCCCCTCATCCTTCATCTCCTTGTGGCACATATCGATGGAGATTACTGCTGATGGACCATTTTATCACCTTAAATAAACAGTCACCACCTTCTCTAACCTCAATCTAATATATGGCTATCTGCTATGTTTAAGGGTGCTGGGTAACCAATGATGTAAAATAGCTAAATCATACATGTTACCAGCAATCTGCAAAAATGCAAATATTCCCCACACTGATCCACTTCCCTATAATGCTATATATACACTCGCAGCTCCCTGGAAATCGAATAGTACGAGGCGTGCAGACTGCTGGTTTATGTGACCCATTCGTTTTACACAGCTTATTTATTACAGCGACAGGTTGGTGCTTTACAATTAAGATAGAGGACTCAGCCTTTCCAGTATGAAAGCCTCTTCCCAGGAGCAAGGGACGGCTGTCCTTGGGGCAGTTCAACTTTTCCCCACACTGAAATTTGGTATTCAAATACCCAACCCAGGACCTCATCTCCTCCTATATATATCCCCTCCTTCATAACCCCCCACCCTAATAATTCTGCTCCTTTTAGGTAAAGAGCTACTCAGAAAATTGTCCGCAATCGCGTATCTCTTACTCAGGCAACATTACCATTGATTTTAATAGAATCCCATTTCCTTCAATGGGAGTAAAGACTGTAGGTTTGGGCCCTAATTAGTTTGATTATTGTGATTTTCTAACTCAAAATAACTCAATTTGAGAAAAAACAACAACAGACATTTAGCCCACAATCCTTGTGGATTCGTTTAAAAAATGCAACAATTTTCAACTGATCTTTTAAAATCGACGCATGTGTTTGGGAGTAACTTTTTCGCATCTATCTTTAACGTCATAACAGTCCATATAAATGAGTGATGATAGGATATTAATTGACTAGCATAATTGAACAGGATAATATGTAGGATAAGGTAGGGTTTTAGTATTTGTTAGAGTAATTTTTTTTACTATTATAGGGTAAATAATATGCATTTTGAAAAGACGTATTAACTTTACTAACCAAAATCGTCAAAACTACAATCACCTTTGTGATCGTCCATATTGTATAATTCTCCGTAAAATATTTTAAATCAAATAAATTAAATGTGAACCTTACATTATAATAGCGTTTAAATGGTGTCAAAGCCCAAAACGCACTTTGCAACTTTGTATTGTTTATTTAATTTAAGTGATGTATTTATTAGGCACAATATGCAAGCTATTGAGCTAGTGGTGCATGTGAATTTGGAATTCATCATCACTATAGGTCTTTGGTAGATTTGTGCCACAATATTAATATTAAACGTGTGGGGGAGGTTTTATTTGCAAAGCATCTAGGTCAAGGAAAAAGTTTGAACCAGTCTCTTTTCTGCAGCGCAATAATAATAGTCTTGTGGATACAGACTAACACGGCTACCCTCTGATAAAAGAGACTGTTTCCCTAAAGATGTTAATCCAAACTGTGATTCCTGTAAGGCAGAGAAGGAGTTTATTCTTCCTTGTTGGGGGAAAGGATGTTAAAAGTATCATTTAGAGAAGAAATAATGACTACAGTGACTTATAATTTCACAGTATTTTTAAGAAGAAGCGCAAACAAAACTAAATCCAGAAATATCTGTTAGTAAGGTTCCTACGCCTAACCCCGAAAATGTGTACTTCGAAACTTCTGCATATATCAAGGCCCGATCCCGCAGTCCCTATTCTGTTATACTATCCACTTACTTCAACAGATCGGGCCCTCAATCTGTTGCTATCTTTCGGGCACCGAACTCTTTAAAAAAAACAAAACACCATTGCAACTTCTGTGCTTTTTAAGTGACTCTTTGCCAATCTTGGAACTTCGGTAGATTTATTTGGAGCTAGAACTCAAATTAAAATCAATCACCTCTCACCTCATCCACAAACCACTCTCCTTCCCCTCAGAGAGCCACCTACAGTACACTGAATTAAGGAAGTAGTGAAGCTAGTTGAAAATCAGTTCTACCAAAGATCACAGTACTGTGATTTCTATACATTTTCTTTCACGTTTTATGATGTATGTACCAGCTATCCCAGTGCTGATCAGTTTTCTTTTTGAATTGTGCCTTAATAAGTGAAGAGCATATTATTGTAATTTCCATATAAAATATGTATTATCTCCCTTTTGTTAACATATTGCCCAAAATCACAGAGCAAACATATCTACCTGTTAACATTTCTTATTAAATAATAAATACATAACAATAATAATAAATCTAATATAATTGCAAGGAAAAGTTGCCTACCAAACAAGTTAAATGACAATGCATTTACTGAAGACCAGCAAAATGTAATAATTCTTGCACCATTTCTCCCTTGCTTTCACACGGTGAAAACTATTCAGGCACAACAAGATGAACATTTTACAAACGTCCTTTGTGATCGATGTATTCTTTATCAAATCCACCTTTAATGCTGTGATTGGAAAGAAACTCTGCAGACTTCACCAGCGTGCTATTTATTCCACTCACTCCTTAAAAATGTTCCTTCCAAATCACTTTATCTTTCTTTCTCTTTTTAAAACCTTTATCTTGTAGATTTACAGAGCTGCTCTGAGAAGTTAAACATGTATTGTCTGAGTAGTTTGGTTGGCGATTAAAAGTGCATTTCAAATTCCATTAAGTGCATGTAATTTATGAGATCAGGTTTTCTGCACTGGAGAGTAGAAAATACGCTATGTCTTTTGGCTACAGAGTAAAATTGAAGCACAAAAGTCATTGAAAACTAAACCGCTATCCAAAACAGAAACATTTGCAAGGCAAAGAAGGAACTAAACTTGTACCAACTTCCCTCATACTCTTTAAGAGTAGTAATATCAATGTAATTTAATTAATTCACAACAGAGTGCCATTTAATGGCAACTTTCGAAACAAGTCAGTCTTTGAAATGAAATTAAACAAACCCACATTTTACTTTTGTATGTGTTTATGGCTTGTTGTTGAGTTTTGGAGTATTTTTAATATCTAAAACAAAAGTTCAAAGTATTTTAAGAAGCAGTCTTTTGGGAACAATGCAGAAAACATACGAGATAAAGATATTTTAGAGCGTTCTACTTACATAGAGACGAAATGTATGTTATTGTTAATAAATGTGATGGGTCGATCCAGTCAATACTTTGAGAAAGTATTAACATGTTTTAATTAATATTATCTATTGAGGCTATTGAAGGTATATTTAATATTTATGAATGCTATAAACAGTTGGTGTAAACAACTTATAGAAATTAACAAAGACTGTTTAATAATTTGGGTCTACCTCCAAAAAATAAAAAACTATTGCGGTGATAACAGGATTAAGTGCCTATCAAATCCCATGTACAAAATTGGGTTTGACATCCAATCCGGTATAGGACATTTATACTTTTGAAAGCAAACGTGTCATATTAGATTACTATGTCACACTTTTCAATAGAAATAAAAATAAACTAGCAAGGTGTGATTGATGTTAACAAGCTCTGAAAGGTAAATGATATTCCAAGGTGAGATGGGGGGGGGGGGGAGGAAGTTCTCCACAGCCCTTCAAATGAAAACTTTTCGCCTGCCAAGCGCAGCTGAGTAATTGATTTATTGTAAAAGAGCTAAGAATAATGTCCTGCAAACTTTGGCTTTCCATATAGGAACCAAGTAAGAGAAACAAAAGGAACCACTTCACAGTGAATTGCTGTGTTGCTTATCTGCATTCTGAATTCATTTCCCTAAGCACTCTCTCAAAAACTTGCTCCCAGAAAACCTTGTTTTGTAAAGGGCACCTCCCAGAGAAGGGTCTTCGACAGAAATGGAACTTGGTTCTATCAAGCAATGCACTTAAACCTGGCTCTACCAAGCAATGCACTTAAACCTGGCTCTACCAAGCAATGCGACTAATTGTAATTGGCGGGGAAGAGCAGGACATTTGTCGCTTGTCAGTAGGAGAGAGCAGGGTGCAGAGCGATAGGGTGCAGGTTCAAGGTCGTTGTTACCCAATCTTGGGCGTGAGCGGACTGATTTCGGACTCTTTAGGTGTCAGGCTTGCCCTGGGCAGGGAGGGTAGCTGTATGAAGGGGTACATACGGTTGTTGGGGTCACCGGTGTGCTGGTTCAGGGGGATGATCTCCATGCGTTGCTGTCCATACAGGTAATAGTCCAGCTCCTCTGCTGTACATCGAAACCTGGGCGCAGCCCGCTCGCTGCACTTGGCGCCCCCGCCGCACAAGTCTTTGCTCTGCAGGGAGGCCGGGGCTCCGGAGGGGGACTCGGAGCTCGGTAGCGGCCCAAAGACAGGAATCTGGGCCACAGAGATCGAGGTCAGCCCGGCCAGGGAAGCGGCGGCGGCGGCGCAAGAGGAGGTGGAAGAAGATGGGGTGGACGAAGAGGAGGAAGAGGAAGCGGAGGAGAGAGAGGCTGGGCGCTGGCGGAGGCTGTCAGCCGAGGGATCCGCTCTCTCGGGCGGCGGGAGCTGGGTGAGGGCCCCGCTGCTCTTGAGCTGGCTGCTCTGCGGGAACAGCTGCTGCCAGTGCTGGAGATAAGCTGGATCCACCTTCAGAAAAGCAGATCCGCCTGGGTCGCCGGGCTTCAACATCTCTGCAGCCTAGAGAGCAGGGGAAACGGGAGAGACAGTCGTGAGCTCCTACCTCCGCGCGGTGCCTCCTGCCTGCCCCAAGCCGAGCCAGCGTTCAGAGACACCGCCTCGCGCGGCCGAGGTGCGGGGGCTGTCTGAAAGAGCAGGAGGAACGAAGTGCCCTGCTTTGATTTCTGCCGTGTCCCAGCCTTAGCGAGAAAAAAAAAAACAGCCTAGGGTCAGAGAAGTCCCCGCCTGACATACATAACCGGCTCCTTCCGAAACAGGCAGAGAAGGGAACTTTTCAACGACTACACCGTGCACTAAGTGCTTCTCTGTCAATAAACCACAGTTCAGAGCTACTGGGCCGGGGGTGGGGTGGGGGTCTGGCATGTACAGCCCCTCACGCCAAGTGTCTGCAAAGAGAGGGGGTGCCACTGGGAGCCACCCCAAAATCAGAAAGACAAGCCAGCCAGCTCGCCATGCCTTCACAAAGCTCCGTGACTAACTGTGCCCCCCTGCCTGCTGCAAGGACCTTTCTCCATCTCCCCCACCCCGGTGCATTTTTACCACCCACAAACAACCCCAAAGTTCACTTTATAGAAAGGCTGGGAGGAAAAACGATTCTGTATTTCGAGGTCTGTATGTATGAGAAAAACAATCGCTCAGCGGCATCCCTGAGCGAACTCGGCACAGTCAGACACAATTGCAGATAGCGGCCTCGGAAGAGGAAGAAACCCCAAACAAACATCGAAACAGCCTTCCGCAGCTCCCCTGGTGTACGCGACCCAGAGCCTGGCATGGCATGGCTCCCCCTTACCTGAGTATTTCTATTGGCTTTACGTGTGTGTCTGTGCTGTGTGTACAGCCCTGGGAGATCACAAGCCGTACGAGGTTTAAGAAGGGGACTTTTTTGTTATCCCTCGACAACACCAGCTTCCAGGTAGCGGCTGGAAGGGATAAACCTGGTGAGAGCCGAGCAGCCGGGCTCCCTCTGCTGTGGCTGAGTATTTCAGGCGCGTCCGGGCTCCTCTCTGGCAGACTCTGCGCTGGACACGTGGGCTTTACGACAGCACAAAATACAGTGTGTGGTGTGTGTGAGAGGGAGGGAGGGAGGGAGGGAGAGAGACAGACAGACAGACAGAGGGGAAGGAGCGGGAGGTTAACCGTGGGTCTAAACACAGAGCCCCCTTTTTGGCAGCCTCACGCACTTTGTTCCTGGTTTCATTCTTAAAGATGTCCCCATTCCCTAAACTGGGGGACTTAGGGTACTTAAAACAGGTCTGTTTCCATTAGCCCACAGAAAGGGAACGGTGGCTAAGTGGGACTTCTGAGATGTTCAGACTTTCCTGCTTAGTCGCTAAGGCAGGACTACGAAGTGTAAAGTTTTACTTGTTTGCTATGGGTTTGTCAAACGACAGCATCTTGAACGACAAAGCGGGACTGCTCGAAGGGACCTGTATAGTAGGCTGTGTTCCTTTCAGTGCAGACAGCTTTAAACTCTTCCTTGTAGTTCGGTGTGCTTAGGTTGGACTCTTTTGTAGATCAGTTTCCTATGACACTTTCATTTGATCGCCTTCATGTATTTGACCTTTGATTTACATTTTGCTTTTATCGTGCAGATGCTACGGTGTATTTTGATTCGCTTCCTTGTTCGTTTCCTTATTAATTGTTCCCCTTTCTCTGCTTTCCTGGTGCACATCTGGTCGCATACACTCCTTTTTTTACATTTCTCGGTATAATTTACCTTCTGTTCTCCATGGGTACTTTAATAAGATCCATTTCAAGAGTTCCCAGGATAGGTGGAGAATTACCCGCTGTTTTCAATCTGCTCTACTTCTGCCTTAGTTCTCTCTGGACTCGAGAGTTAGCCCGTTCATACTCCAGAAAATCTATACATACTCTAGTGCACCACACAAACCAAAGTTTAGGTAGTCAAGACGTAGCCTCCTTTGCTAAACGTCTGCGCTTTAACTACAATTTTTTCCTTGCTCGAAATTCAGGACCACAAGGTTGGCTATTTTCCGTGTAATTACTGAGAAATTTCATGTATCACTTAGTACTTAAGATCAAGTTTCTTCGGGCTCTTTTTCACATCGCATGAAATGATAGAAAAGGGATATCATTTGTCCTATATAATATATACTTATCCAAATATATACATTTAATATAAAATGATCAGATCAAAATACCTATCAAATGTAACGATATAATTCATATTGTTCTATTTCATTTTGACGTTATACACACACCATATTCTCTCTCTCTCTCTCTCTATGTAGTGTGTCTCAGTATTTAAACAATTAATTGAAGACATTTCTCTTCAACTTTCTACTTATTTCTTTCCCACCCGTTCATTCTTGCAGAGCCTGGGAAAGCTGCTGTTTAGATTTTGTCTGTGTCTAAGGCAGGACATTTTAACACAAATTTGAACAGAGCTGGGACAAAAAATGTTTTGACTGGCGTCATTTTGACAAGGTCATTCGTCATGTGCTGTATAGATTGATAACACCTAAGTTAAGGCAAACACAACTAGGGGGAAAGAACTGATTTTATGGGATATTAAGCTAGCCATAAAAAACTGCACTGTTTTTGATCAATTCTATTGTGCCAGTTATAATGAATTCTCAGTCCTTTTCCTCTATTAATCTACTTTTAAAAGTTCTGAAATGTTGGTATTTAGTTCACAGGAGAAAAGTGTGGAGAGGGAGAGAACCTTTTTTATCACTTTCTTATTATTGTGTGTATAAAATGTTGATAGATATGCAGAAATGCATAGGGCTACAGGTTTTCTTTGTTCTCATTTTAATACTATATATTATGCTTCATCAGTTCTTTTCCGGTAAACTTTTTATTTCCTCTTATTTGTTTTTACATGTATTTTATAAATTCACATCTTTGAATGATGATTGTTTTTATTACGAAATGTCTTTACAAATATTAAATGCGTTTTAATGGCAGCAATCTTTAAACATTCGTTTCACACTCGAAAAACAGGAAGTAGTAGGGAAATGCTCACAGCTAATGGGTTTAAGTGTATTGTCAATATCTCCATTTGCCTTGGATTGTTACAGAAATGATGCCTGTAGTTTCATATTAGTAGATTTTTATCTGCTATTGCAAAACTAGGGCACTCTCATACTTGTAACGAGGAAAGTCTCCCTTTGAGTGATCAAGATGGCAGAAGGCGATTTGCAAGGGCACCGAGTAGGTGTTCGAATCTCCTACAGGAGTATCAGGTTCCTCCCGAGATTTCTGACAAATGAGGGTAGAAAGATCAAATCCAAAATAAAACAGGATTAAAAAAAGTTGTCCTTTCCCTCTACCCCCTCAGGGCCGACTGGAGAGCCTGGAAAGTTGGACGCCTAATGCAGCAGGGCTCAGTGGCAGCATTGCAGGGCAGATGCTGTAGCTATACCAGACTGTGGGGCCAATCCTTCTTGCATTGAAATCAATGCGGGGAGGGGGCAGGATCGGGCTCCTTGTCTCTGTCTGGGATTGGAAGGGCTCCTCCGGGAAATACTGCTCGGCTGTCCCTGTCACTCATGCAGAGTCCAGCAATGACCAGGGGACCAATGAGCCTTGTCGATTGGATTTTTTTTTCCAAATGGAAAATAATCCAGTCGGTCTAATTAACTCGATTCACTCTGGAAGACTGGGCAGGCAATTGCTGTTAAACTAAATAACCAGAGGGATCCCAGTGGTACTAAGTCACAGCGGGGTGATAGCTGCTCCCTGCCTCTCCAGGGATGGGGTTAAAGGAGCTGGCTTTGGAAGGGTCACACACTTCTTGCGTTTCTCAGTCATAACAGATAACACTGCGACACGAGCCGAGCATTTAAAATAACAGATGTGGGGTCTGAAAGAGAAGAAACAAACGAAATTAAGTGTCAGTCCTGGTCTTACAGTTTAGTACCAGCTTTGCTTAGCCAAGTCCAACCTCTGGTTTGTCTTTCTAGGTTTGTGAGTGCGTGTGTGTGTGTGTGTTTTTATATCGCCCCCCTCCCCCGCCGCTTGTCTCTAGAGGTTTATTGTTATTATTTCTTGCTGTAACTTCTGTGTTTATAGAGGCGGTGGGAGAAAAGAGTTTTTAGCCCCCTCCTCTTCTCGCTGGGTTTTTCATTATTTAGAGGACGAGCACTGAAACAAATCACATTGACCGTTTAGAAACCGATCAAACCTTTATAAAAATCCATCGCTAACGAATCGATTGGTGAATATTTGCTAGGAATTTGTTCAAAAGAAATAAATGAGGGTAAGTGTATTAAATGCAAAGGGGAACACGGTGGTGTTTTTCTTCATTGATTAATGACCTCTAAAATAAAACAAGTAGGAAGAGGAACCAGGATCGATAAATTAACTACCCAAATTCATCATTTTCCCTGGGAATTAAAAAAAATAATCCTTAGCCAGTCTCTCTCTCTCCCCCTCTTTCTCTCTTTGGGAACTGGGTTTTCGGAGGGAGGGGAACTAAACCCCCTAAAAGGGAGGGATTGAATAGGGGGAGCCCCTATCTGATATTGTTTGGTACACAATTTAAAAAGTTTGCCTTTCATATTAATTAATTCTCCTGATCTGGGGAAGACAAATGGTCGGTTGCCTCTGACAGGAGTCCGATAAAGGATTCAGCAGCTTTCCTTCTTGCCCTAGGCATCTCCTCATTCCAGTTTTAAGGTCACTCGCGGCTGAGTTAATAATTCATTAATATATAGACATTTATTCAGATGGGATTCACGGACATTCACACTCCCCCTTGCATTGCAGCGTTTAGATTTAGTTTCCCTTGAAGAAGAGAAGGGGCTAGAGGAAGGAGACTTTAAACAATAAGTGGACCCGTTCCTACAGCCTATTCTAGCCAAAGATGGGGCATCCAAACCCAAACCGACCCGGAGCAGGCGAATCAGTTGAATCATCCGGCTCGAAACCCCAAGCATTAGGAGGGTCAGATCTTACGCTTTGCCTCCTCGGACCTTTGCTTTGGATAGTACCCTTCTGCTCCGTGCCACACTCTGTGCTGCGATGGGGAAGGGCTGTGCTGTCTGCACTCCCCCCTCCCGAAGGTTTCTTTCAAAACCAAGAATTAAGGTTCTGCCTTTGGGGTTGGGCTGTTCGCCAACCGTTCCGCCACCCCCCCCCCCCGAACTATTACATGGGGGCGAGGCGACCCACAAAGAAAGCAGCGGTAAAGGGAGCAAATAAGAACGGCCCCAGGCACCAGCCAAACTCACTGCCGTCCCATCTCCGGGGACCAACCAGGGCTCACCATTGTTACTGGCTGTAATACAAAAAAACCATACATGGCAAAACATAAATACCAAGGGCTATATTACAACCACTAATGCTCGTGGCACACGACAAGGGGTGGCTCCTGGCAAAGGAGATCCTGGTGCTGGGCACGGGGAGGAAATCCCACTTGTTAAATCCCAAACTCTGCGCGGCATATTCAGCCCTGTCTGTGTCTGCCAATAGCTTGCCCCAGAGGCTCCTCGCGCTGAACACTCCTGAAACACAGACTTGGTTTGGCGCAGCTGCCTTCCGTGCCTGGCAGCAAACAGAGTAGTCATTTCTTTACAATACAGTACAGCACCCTACAGACCCAAGGGATACTGCAGAGAAAACAGGGAAGTAAGGACGAAGAAAATCAAGGCAGGGTGCAAGTTACAAGTCCAGGGGAAAGAAAGGCAGCTAGGAGGCGGCAACAATTCCAGATAATAATAATAAAATAGCCCTTCGTCCCTGCTGCTCTCTGAATCAAGCGAGATCCGAACTAATGCTCTGCTCAAGGCAGAGGGAAGCTGGGGGCTGTACGAGCCGTGGGGAGCTCATAAGTCTGCCCGCGGTGTGGTGTGTGCTTTGGTGAGATGTAGCTGCTGCTGGGGGACAGAAACCCAAGAGGGCGCCCGTCCTTCCCGCCCTGGCCAGCACTGGGGCTAGGCGGCCCTGGGGTTCTGTCCGATCCGTGCGCTGCCGGGCCAGACTTCCCACTGACTAACACGGACCATGAAACCTACCAGCCCGGCAGCTCCCAGCCCCAGCTCCTCGGAGCTACAGAAGAAAGGCAGATCTAGGGAAGGGTTTGTCTGACCCACG